TGTGTGTGTGTGTGTGTGTGTGTGTGTGTGTGTGTGTGTGTGTGTGTGTGTGTGTGTGTGTGTGTGTGTGTGTGTGGCTGGTTGGGGCTACAGGCCTGCTCGGCGTTCCCGAGCTCTCAGTCCTGCAGAGAAGCCGTGGGCTACAGGACACTGCTTTGCGCTGGTCCCAGCTCCTCAGTGGGAGGTCTGGACCTCCACACACGGGGTCTGATGACACGGAATGGTGCAGGGTTCCAGCCGCCGCACCCCCGGCTCCCTGTTCACTGGCGTCACCAGACAACACCGTCAGGACAACCACAACAAGAGCCAAGCATCTGGCTGCTGCAAAGGCTCCTGAAAGGAGGGCAGCAGCACTGCTTACCTGGCCGGCACCTGAGGGGGAAATGACCCAAAGGTGTTGGGAGCCCCCCCATGCCGCCCAGCCCAGAGCTGGTCCTGACAAACCTCCGTGGGAGTGGAACACACAGCCACCAAGTGTGGCCCAGTTAGACGGTGAGTGAGGCCCACAGCTGCGCAGGCCAGAGGAAACGGGAAGATGAGGACAGATGGCCTGTGGGACAAGCAGACGGGGGTGGGGGGTGGGGGTGGGAGCAGCAGGGCGGAGGGAGGCCCCAGCCTCGGGCACTCATGCCCCGCACTTGTCACAAACATCACATGTCACCTGTATCCTGCACAGAAATCACTGGGTGCCTCCTACATGCTAGGAGCTACATCGTGTTGGGGACACGGAGGGAGCCAGGAGTTTAGGTTGGGTAGGGCAGCTGGACGTGACCAGAAATGTGTACGTTTGCAATGCCACCGGGCCACGGAGGGCGATGGCCACGAGCTGGCGGGCATGTCGCGGGCCGAGGACCGTACCTGTCTGCTGTCATTCTCCCGGCAGCCTTGCAGCTTTATGAGTGAGCCGGGCGCCCGGTCCACCACGGTCAGGCACAGGTCCATGTGCTTCACTGACTTCTCCTTGGTCAGGGCCCACTCCTGGAACAGACAAGGGGTCAGGAGCACGCCCCACGCAGGGCGAACAGACGACAGAGCGAAGGGAGGGAGGGCTTGGAAAGGAAACAGGAGCTAAGATCCAGAACCCCCGAAACCGACTCAGAGCCAACACACGACTTCATGCCTAAGGGCAAATCTGCAACTGGGGGCTCAGGGGAGCCCCACAACTGAGCCCTGAGTCGACCGAGTGAAGTGCAAATGTGCTCTGGGAAGCTGAGTATTGCGATGAGAAGCATTAACCATTGTAGCCCCAAGTGCAAACCAGAGCCCCACACCCACCTCCTGTCATGGTTGAGTTGTAAACACTGGTTACCAGAGGCCTGCCGCTCAGGGTCAGTGTCCCACCCACACGATTATACTTCAGAAAGACCCTGCTCCCAGGCTTCGGGGATGTGCGCTGTAATGTGTAAAAGTTCTAAACGGCATGCGGCATGTTTAAGCAAAGTGTAGCGTGTGCAGCCTCCTAAGGAGGACGAAGTGACTGACGCTTGTGGAACCGTGAGCCCCAGGAACAGGTTGTGTGTCACGGTTCACACTGGGCGCCAAGCACCATCTCAACACAAAGGCTATTATTAAGCCCATTTTACAGATGAGAACGCTGAGCCAGAGCACTGAAATAACTTGCCTGTGACTTTAAAAAATACAGACACACACCTACGTATGTACACGTACACACATACGCTCAACACACACACGCCCTGCTTCAGGGCTGAGAGCACAACCTTTCATCTGAACACTAGACAAGGTCATCTGAGGCAGGGAACTGGGGAATGAGGAGGAATGAGTGTGGCCGCAGGCAGCGCAGAGGCTCCCGACCTTCACTCCAGGCCTTGACCTTCACGTGGTGAACACCCAGGAGAGCCCTCGGGATCCACTAATCCCACAGGGCTCCCACCTCCCCGCCCCCCCCACACCTCTTCCGGCTACACGCCTAAGAAAGCTGCTGCAACTCCTCTTCCATCTGTCCATCCATCCACCCTGTGACTGCACATGTCAGACGAGTCCCTGTCCTTGGGAAGCTCGCGCTCCAGTGCAGAGAACGGGCAATAAAGGAATAAATGTATTCCGTCACTTCAGGCCTGTCAAGTGCCACTGGGAAACTGTCTTCCTTCTTCCTGTTCTCAGGGGACAGAGTAGGGAAGGAGTCAACCATCACTTAGAGCCTCCCTGTTCAGGACCTGCGTTTCCTTGGAACACACGGTCTGTCATGCGGAAAGCATTAACAGCTCCGGCCACACGCCAGCCCTTAGAGGCCACTGTGACACCAGCGAGTGGGCAGTCCAGCACCTGGGGGAGTGGGCGCAGGGCCAGGCAGCCCCTTGGCCTGTTCACAGCATTAGTCTCTCCTAACGGACTCAGACTCAGGTTTCAGTTCCCTCACCTTTTAATCAGTGTTTCTCAAAGCATACTCTGGAGATTTCTCTGAAAAGTTTGTTCCAAGTCAAATACATTTGGGAAACACTGAATTTAGGCCCTGTTTCTCTTGCAAATTCAGACAACTCAGAAAAGGGTCTGAAAGTCCAAGAGGAACTGCCTGGCCTGTTTTCCTAAGCGTCCTGGAAGGAACTTCAGAGCTCGCAGCCTGGGGACTTCTGAGACTGAGAATTCTCTGGGGATGGCCACACACAGGCCCGAGGGTCGATTCTAACCTCCCATGACGCTGTCAGTCCACTGGGTGCTCTCAAGACACCAAAGGGCACTCAATGTCACCCACACGTGGGGTGAAGAGGCCCAGGAAGAAGCACACACATTTAGTCACCAACCTGACCCACAGGTGCCCCTGCTCCTGGGTAGGGGACGGGTGGTGGACAACTGAATGGAGGAGGCGTCTGCACTGCTCCGGGCGCAGGTGTGAAAGACATCGGGAGGCTTGCGGACTCACGGCTGAATGTTCCCAAAACTTTCTCACTATCGTGTGCTTAATTATTTTAAAGCAGACTTTACACCGAATCCAGAAAAACCAATTCAGTTATGCAAACAGCAGAGCCAGTTGCCACTTTGTTCTTCTGCTGCATTTGAATGATCTGATTTTGTAAAATAAAGTTCATACATATTTAAGAAATGCTTTTTTGAGCTGCCACTCTTCAAAACCATGGCCGCTAATCTTCCCATTTCCTGTGTGTCTGCTGAGGCTCAGCCAGACGCCAGACAGCAACCCCCTGGCTTCCAGAGCGGGGCCCTATTTTCAGTTGGGAAACGCTATTTCCCCTCCTACTCTCATCCACGTGGCACGTTCCTCACAGAAACTCAGTCCCCATCAGCTCACAGGGACTCTCTCCTGGTGAGTTTACAAGCTGGACTATCAGGCAGCAAGCAAACTCTGGGCCCATCTCCTCAGAACTGCGCCCCCAACAGGTGGCTATTTAAATGAACTCAAGTTACGTGAACTAGGGACTCTGTGTCCTCAATCATGCCCGCCACGTGTCCAGCGCTCGGCAGCTACACGGGCTGCTGGTGACTGCACTGCATGGTGCAGACCTAGAAAGCGGCTCTCTGGGCCTCAGGTTGGTCCTCGGAGGAAGGTGTTCCCAGGTGTGGGGGCGACAGCTGCCTCAGGTACCTGCTGACGTGTACTCTCCCGCTAGAAAACCCTCGCTGCCCAGCTGCTCATTCAGAACCACCCACCTTGGGGGGCCCTCAAAACCCAGGTGCTCTGAGCCCACACGAATCGGTCAGGCTCTGGGCCTGGCCCGGCTGCAGCACTTTCTGGAAGCTCCAGGCCCCCCCTGCACGTGTGGGCAGAATGGCGTCCGCTGCCCTAGACAGGCGGGTCTGGGTCTTGTCGCCATGACCCCAGGGCCCAGCACAGCCCTTGGCACACCACATGCCCAGCACACATCTGCTGGAAGTAGATAAAAGCCCCGTGAGACCAGTGATGGCCCCACAACAGCAGGGGAAATAAGACAGAAAGTGAGAGCAAAGTGCTCTGTAGGCAACCGTGTCAGCTCCATGAGGCGCTAGGCTGAACACTCCGGTCGGCTTTAGGCAGATGCAGAGCCAGCGTGGCAGACCACGGCACTGTCACCTCTGCACGTAGCCGGGTGGCCGCCTACACTGTCCTGATCTACTTCCTTCCCAAGAATGGCACCCTGAGAGCAGCTCGTCACCAAGGAGCGCCAGTGCCTTACGTGTACGGTCCCTATGATTCACTGTCCAAACCAGGACACCCTTGAGACTAAAGGAAAGCTACTACACGGGGTCAACAGGTGTACACCGGCCAGGTGCTGGGCTGGCACAGTCAGCCTGCCTACGGCGTGCCCAAAGGAGGGCTCAGGGGCTCAAAGACTCACTTCCGGCCAAGATCAGCAGACCCAGAGCCACCGCCCCTTGTCCTTCCTCCTGGGGGGATGTGGGGGTAATGATCACACAGGTAATGGCACCTGCTGCCCAGCTGCCACCGGCTGTTATTATCAGCTGTTCCCTGGGGGAACCAAGTGGGGACGAGCCAGGCGTGGAGCCCAGGCTGGGCTGACGCTGAGTGTCAGGGGCACTGCTGGGGGTGGGGGCCACGGGGACTGATGGGAGTAGGGGCACGGGGACTGATGGAGGTGGGGCCACGGGGACTGACGGG